AGGGTATATGCCTAGGAGTGGGATTGCTGGGTCATATGGTGGTTTTATTCCTAGTTTTTTAAAGAATGTCTATGCCATCTTCCATAGTGGCTGTATCAATTTACATTCCCACCAACAGTGCAAGAGTGTTCGCTTTTCTCCACACCCTTTCCATCATTTACTGTTTGTAGACTTTTTGATGAGGGCCATTCTGACCAGTGAGATGATATCTCATTGTAGTTTTGATCTGCATTTCACTAATAATGAACAATGTTGAGCATCTTTTCATGTGTTTGTTAGCCATCTGTATGTCTTCTTTGGAGAGATGTCTGTTTAGGTCTTTTTCCCACTTTTTGATTGGGTTATTTGTTTTTCTGGTGTTGAGTTGTATGAGCTGCTTGTATGTTTTGGAAATTAATCCTTTGTTAGTTGTTTCATTTGCTATTATTTTCTCCCATTCTGAAGGTTGTCTTTTCACTTTGCTTATAGTTTCCTTTGTTTGTTTTTAGTCCTTCTGCATCTTTGTTAAACATTTTTTGCATCTTCACAACCTGTGCCTCCATTCTTTTCCTGAGATTTTGGATTATCTTCACTATCATTACTCTGAATTAATTTTCAGCATATTTCCTATCCCCACTTCATTTAGTTGTCCTTCTGGGGTTTTATCTTGTTCCTTCATTTGGGATATATTCCTCTTTCATCTCTTTTTGTCTAACTTTCTGTAATTGCAGTTTCTTTTCTGCAAGCTGTTGGATTGTAGTTCTTGCTTCTGTTGTCTGCTTTCTGCTGGATGAGGCTGTCTAAGGGGCTTTTGCAGGCTTCTTGGTGAGAGGATCTGGTTCCTTCCTGCTGGTGGTTGGAGCTGGGTCCTGTCTCTCTGGTGGGTAGAACTCTGCTCAGGAAGGCTTTACCCAGCCTGTGAGCTGATATGTGGGACTTTGTTCCCTCCCTGTTGGTTGTTTGGCCTTAGACTTCCCAGCACTGAAGCCTCCAGGCTGTTAGGTGAGGCTAGGTCTTGAGTAGAAAATGGTGTCCTCCAGGAAGGCTTGTACCAATGAGTACTTTCCAGAACTGTCATCTGCCAGTGTCTTTGTCCCTGCAGTGAGCCACAGCCACCCCCAGTTCCACAGCAGACCCTTCAATACTAACAGGTAGGTGTGATCTAGTCTCTTATGAGGTCACTGATTTTTTTTCCATGTCCTGATGCTCACAGGGTCTTGTTTTCCCTCTCCAATAGTGCAGATTTTCTTTCTTCCTGTCCCATGGAATTCCTGTGATCAGAGGAATACATCAAAGCCAGATTCTCTGGGGTCTCCTTCTCTTGTTGACAGAACCCCAGGCTGGGAATCCTGACGTGAGGCTCAGGACTTTCACTCTGTCTCATTGCCACTTCTGTTTTGTCTTTGGATACTGGGTACCAATTTTTGGTAGATTCCTGTGTTTTTGTCAATTGTTCTTTAGCAATTAGCTGTGATTTTCATGTTTTAATGAGAAGGCATTGCTTATGCCCTTCTACTCTGTCATTTTGTCCGCCATCTGCATAGCCTTTATCAAGGTCACTTTGGCAGTACATATGAGGCTTGTCTTGGGCACTACATGATGAACAGACCACGCTGGCTGCCAGAATTTTATAATGCATATAAAGGTTTTAATTGGGTTCAGTCCTGTATATAGATCATCCAGATAGTCCCAGAAACATATTATGTTCACAATACCATATCCTTGAAGTAGCTTCTAGTGGAGGGATGACAAGTGGATGCATATTCCAGGGATATTGAGAAAGAAGGGACCTCCAGTAAGATCTTCCAACAGTTTCATCTACTCCATGACCTAGAATTATTTATCTTTGACTTTAGCCATTTAAATTATGACTGTGTCTTGCTGTGGGTCTGTTTGGGTTAAACCTTTGTCTTTCTATACGTGACTATCTTTCCTTTTCCAGGTTTGGGAAATTTTCTGCTATAATTTTATTAAATGCATTTTTACCTCCTTATCTAACTCTTCTCTTTCTGGGACCCCTATAATGTGAGTGTTTTTATGCTTGATGTTACCCCTCCAAATATTTTAATTAATTTCCATTTTTTTTTATTTGTTTTTCTTTTTCCTCTTGTGCTGCTGATTTCTATTCTATCTTTTAGATGGAGTGCATTCTTCTGTATGCATTCTTCTGTATCACCTAGTTTGCTGTTCACTTCTTCTAGTGTGTTTTTTACTTATTTTATTTTTACTTCTTTAAAAAAAAATATTTATTTCTGTTTGTGCTAGGTCTTCATTGCTTCATAGGCTTTTCTCTAGTTGTGGTGAGTGGGAGCTACTCTAGTTATGGTGCACAGGCTTCTCATTTTCATGGCCTCTCTTGTTGCAGACCATGGGCTCTAGGGTGCATGGGCTTCAGTAGTTGCAGCATGTGGGCTCAACAGTTGTGGCTCTGGTTTCTAGAGCACAAGCTCAGTGTTTGTGGCATGCAGGCTCAGTTGTCCTGCAGCATGTTGGATCCTCTCAGACCAAGGATTAAACCCCTGTTTCCTTCATTGGCAGACTTCCTTGTTAAAATTTTCATTGTGCTCATCTATTCTCTTACATAATTTAGTTAGCATTGTTATTACTAATGCTTTGAATTATTTATCTAGTAAGTTGTTCATTTCTGTTTCATTGGTTCTTTTTTTCTTTTTCAGTTGAGAAAAATTCCTGTCTTCTCGATTTGCTTATTCTCCTCTGTCTCTATGAAATTAAGTAAAACAATTATTTTGAAGGGATGTCCTTATGTGTGAGTCTATGTGTGCCCAGTGACTTTGGTGATAGAGCTAGATTTGATGTGAACACAAGTCACATCTTCCCTCAGGGTGTGCTAGCATCTATCATGGTAGAAGATGGGGCTGGAGAGTCAGGGGCTAGGGCAGAGGGCAGATGCAAGGGGGGACTTTCCCTCTGTTCAGTGACTGTTGCCACCCTATTAGGGGTTGGGTCAGATCTCAAGTTGCTGGAACAGAAGCCCTGAGGGTTGAGTCTGAAATACCTCAGTTCCCTTGAAGTGTATATTCTGCTTTCCAGCACGGGCTCCCTTAGCCCCAGAGAAGAGCAGTGCTGGGGCAAGAGGTAATGGTGTGGGTACTGAACAAGGGTCAAGGCACAGAGTATGGTATGACAGTCTGGCCACTTTCAGAGATTTGGTTTTCCTGTGATGTGCTGCTTGTGCTATCAACCACAATGGCTGCCCAGGCCCTGCTCAGACACCCTTAGTGTCTGAGTCACTATGGCATCTTTTGGCTGAGCTCTTTCTTCATTTCTGACTGCTTTTGCTTTAGTGGGGAGCTTCAGTGTGAGGCAAATAGGGCTAGAGTATTTGCTTGATTCAGGCTGGGGCATATACCAGATTGGTCACAGGAAATGAGTCAACTACCTGTGTGGTTTCAATTCAAGCTTCCCTGCATGTGTTTGGGAGCAAGCAAGCATTCAAGTGCTCATCACAAAGAGAGTCAAGGCTTCCCACAGCCCTCTTGTTAGTCCCACTGAGCCTCCAATCAGCCAAGGGGGCGCTTCCATTTGTCAGCTCCAATCAGCCAAGGGGGCGCTTCCATTTGTCAGACTCCAGGGGTGGGTCATCCAATATGTTGCTCAAACTATGCACTCTCCAGTGAATGTCTATGCCTGTATAGTCTCCCTTTTCCTCTGAATCTTCTCCCAGAGGCACAAGTCCTAACCTGATCATTTCTTTTCCCTTCCTACCCAATTCTTACAACCTTGATTGTACAGGAGTCTTTCTGCTAGTCTTCAGTTAGTTTTCAGTGAGAATTTTTTTCACTTGTAGATGTATTTTTGATATGTTCATGGGAAGAGGGCCACATCCTCCTACTCCACCATCTTGATTTGAGTCCTTAAAACACTTTTATATATAACACAAAAATACAAATAACTTGATAGAAAAATGTTCAAGGAACAGACAGTTCTTAGAAGGCAAAATATTAATGACCAATAATGATAATTAATTAACTTCTTTATTAATCATGGAAGTAAAATTCAAATACCATTTTTAGCACATCACATTTGCAACAATCAAAAATCTATGTAATCTGTTTTAGGGAGGATGTGGTGATATATACACTGGTTATGAGAGTATGTATTTTTATATTAACAGCCTTAAAACTTTAAAGTGTGTACTCTTTGACACATAATTTACTTATGGACTCTATGGGAAAATTCTTACATATGAACAAATATGCTTCTTTATTATAAAGAAAAATTTCAAAGAAATACCTTTTGAGAGAGGAATGACTATTCTGTCATGCAGTATAATATTGTGAGGCTGTTGAAATATGTAGATAGATCTATTTTGATAAAGAAAAGCATTGATATTTTATTAAATGGATTAAAGTGAATTAAAACATTGCAGAATGAACTAATTTATATTCAAACTCTGTCTAAAATTTTATATTACTGTAAGTACTATTTGTATGAACATTTAAATGCATAGAAAAGGATTTAGAAAGAACTGGTATCTGTGACTTCCTTTAGAAATAGAACTGAAGAAAAATAGAAGTTTGGTGACAAGGATAATTTTGTCTATGTTGTTTGAATTATATACTGTTCAATTATAAACATGTATTATTTCTGTAAATAAATACAGATTTTCTGGAGAATAAAAGATCATGTTGATGGGTAATGGGATGAGAATGAGGCCAGTTGATCAATTATGGCAGTCTAGAAAAATAAGAAATAGAGAGGTAGACATCCTAGAACTTTTCTCAGGGAAAAATGCCTTGGGTAATGGAAACATCTGGTCTATGTGTCTGATAAATCATTGTGCAGGCAAATTTACACCAGGTATAAATAAGATGCCAGTTATCAGCATCTTATGACTTTGATTTAATGTTAATGAAGAAATACACTAATAATTTTGCTTCCCATATAATTTGCCTAGAAGGAAAAGTGGGGTGTTAACTTCTCAAGAGACATATCTAATCTGTATGATTATTGTATTTCTCAATATGAATGCATAAATTGTCCTCTTTTATATCTTTCAGTCTTATGATATAATCAGCGAAACTTCACCTCCTGAATTTGGGTGGATTCTGGGACATGACCAGTATCAAGCTGTAGATCTCTAAAGTTGAAGACCCCAGCCTGGATTGTGATGACCTCACCAAAGAAAATAATGCCTGTGAGGTGGCCTTGCAGCAGCCAGTCAATGCTCTCTTTGGGTGACACTCAGTCTTTGCTGTATAACTTTGAATTCTTATAAATCCATTAAGTTTCCAATAAAGTTTTTCTCTCATTTGCTGTTAGTTCTATATGACTACAATCTAGTAAATTGTGAATTTTCAGTAAAGGTTTCATAGTAATTCCAAGTATCAGTAAAATTGGATCAAAGTATGACCTTCTTCCTAGGAATGACAATTCACTCATTCTTTATAGTGTGAAAATACCAGAAGAATTAAGGGGGGGGTGGATTGAGGGAAAATATGAAAAATAATTAAATTCCTGGCACATTCTCTTTACTGTCAACTTTTCTATGGTATCTTATCTATTCTATTGTATTCCTTATTCTTCTACATCTTAACTGCTTTCTTGGTCAAGATGGCTGCTGTGCTTTTTATTTGCTATTTTCCAATTTACTTCTAAAACACTCAGTATTAAACAAATAGGTTATCTTAATTAAAAACATTAATAAAAATTATGATAAAAAAAGGAAAAATTTCAGTCAGCAATTTTTAGTATTTTCACATTGTTCATGTATTTTTCATAAATCATAGAAAAAATTAAAGTTACATTTTGGGAGATCTTTATGTACATTAAATAATATAGAAATAATACAATAATTAAAACAATCTATTATTCATGTACAAATGTGTATGCAAGTCAATATAACAGGATATAAACCCCCAGAAATGGACACACATAAGACTTTAAAGTTAGTATTTCAAATAAGTGAGGAATGGCTGAATCATTCATTAAATTGTGTAAAGAATATCTGGCTGATCATATGGGGAAAAAACAGATTTGATCTCCCGCCTCATACTACAAATTTAAATTAAATACATCAAATCACAAAAATATTAGAAAAAACTTTGGTGAATATTTATATTATTGTGCAATTAGCATACCCCATAGATAATAATTTAGTTTTTCAAAAGGTGGTGTTTATTTATGATGTAATAAATGCTACAAACTATGGAAATATGAGGGTGAGTAAGATAGTAGTCATTGTAGCTTGCAGTCTAACAGAAAAGGCAGTTAATTAAACAAATTTATAAAGCAAGTCTGGATCTACATACTGAAGCTGCCTTCAGTGATCTCTCCTCATCTTTCCGTTCAGCATTCCTTTGCTTACTTCAATTTCAGCCTTTTTCTTCATACTGAGAAAGATGGTACCTCAGTACCTTCAGAATTATATTACATTAAGCTCACACACTCAGAAGGAGAAGCAATCTCTTTTCCAAGTCCCCATATCAATAGCTCCAAAAGTACTCAGTTTGGCCTTGCTTGGATCACATATGAATTTATGGACGAATCACTATCCACTAGAATGGGTGCTCTGATTGGCCAGTTTAAAGATTATATTATTACCTCTATGGAGAGGAAGGTTGGCCTCCTGTTTGACAGTCTCACCACAGTCATACTGAATCAGGAAGTGGCAATTCCCAAAACGAAGAGACACAAGACAGATTAAAAAGTAGTATATATATATATTCACTAAGCATGAAAACATTTCCTAATTGACAAATTAAAAAACAATTTAGCTAAACTATAAAGTAGATGGAGTGGTGAGGAATCAGACAGGAGTGATAGGTAGAGGTGATCATGAGGATTTGTATAAATTGTTTTACAGAATTTAAACTTTATACCTATGGGTTTTTTAAATTGCAATAAAATATACATAATATAAAATGTATCATTTAATCATTTAACTTAACTCTTTTTCAATTAAAAAATGTTTTTGACCATGCCATGTGGTGTCTGGGATCTTAGTTCTCCAACCAGGGATTGAATCGATGCTCCCCACAGTGGAAGCATGGAATCTCAACCACTGGACCACCAAGGAAGTCCCTAACCTTTTTTTTAAATGGAGGATAATTGCTTTACAATAATGTGGTCTTTGCCATACATCAACACGAATCAGCCATTGTACATTTATACATAGTTTATATGCAATTGTCACCACCACCCATTGTCAAGAATTTTTCATTTTCCCAAACTGAAATTCTGTATTCATAAAGCAGTAACTCTCCATTCCTCCCTCCCCCCATTTCCTGAAAACCACCATTTTACTTTTTGTTTCTATGAATTGAACTACTCTACGTACCTCATATCAGTGGAATTATACAATGTTTGTATATAGCTTATTTCACTTGGTATAACCTCTTCAAGTTTCATCCATGTTGTAGCAATGTATCAGAATGCCTTCCCTTTTTTAAATTGTGGTATAATATGCAGAACATAAAATTAATTATAATTTCTAACTGTACAGCTTAGTAGTGTTGAATATATTCATATCATACAATCCATCTCAAATCCCTTTTCATCTTGCAAAATCAAAATTCTATGGACGTTAAATAATTCATTTACCTCTATACCAAGCCACTGGCAGACAACATTTCACTTTCTATGTTTCTTTGAGACTGACTACTCTAGATACCTCATATAAGTATAATAATACAGTATATGTATTTTTGTGATGTGATTGGCTTATTTCACTTAGCATAATGTCCTCAATTCATGTTGCACCATGTGACAGGGCTTCTTCTTTAAAAGGTTATTTTTCTGTAAACACTTTATTTTTTAGAACAGTTCTAGGCTCACAGAAAAATTAAGTGTAAAGTATAGAGTTCCCATGCATTCTCACCCCAATAGGTGCATAAACTCCCCCATTATCAGCATCACCCACTACAGTGGTGTATTTGTCACAACTGATGAACCTAAATTGACCCATTGTAATCCACAGTTTACACTAGGATTCTCTCCTGGTGTTTTACATTAAGTTTTACATTCTATGGGTTTGGACAAATGTATAATGATATGCGTACATCATTACAGTAGTGCACAGAGTATTTACACCACACTAAAAATTGTGCTCTACTGATTCATCTCTCCTCTCCCTACCACCAAATTCTGACAACCACTTATCTTTTTACTGACTCCATAGATGTGATTTTTCCTGAGTGTTATGTCCCTGGAATCATACAACATGTACTCCATTCAGATTGGCCTTTTTCACTTAGTAATGTGCATTTAAGTTTCTTTCATGTCTTCATGGCATGATAGGTCATTTATTTTTATTGCTGAATAATATTCAACTGTTTTGATGTACCACAGTTTATAAATCCATTCACTTATTGAAAGACTTCTTGGGTGCTTCCAAGTTCTGGCAATTATGAATAATGCTCCCATAAACATCCTTGTGCAGATTTTTGTTTGGACATAAGTTTTCAATTCTTTGGTAAATATCAAGAGTGCAATTGCTGAACTGTAGGAAAAGAATTGGATTAGCTTTGTAAGAAATCACAAACTGCTGACCAAAGTGGTGGTACAGTTTTGCATTCCAACAAGCAATGAATTAGAGTTCCTATTGCTCTTCATATCCCAGCCAGCATTAGCTACTTTCAGTGTTCTGTATTTTGGTCATGCTAATGGGTGTAGTGGTATCTTACTGTTGCTTAAACTTATATTTCCCTGATGACATCTAATGTGGAGCACTTTTTCATATGCTTCTTTGTCATGTGTATATCATTATTGATGCTATGTCTGATAAAGTTTTTGGCTCATTTTTTAATCAGTTTTTTGCTGTCTTATTGGTGAGTTTTAATTATTTGTATTGGTGAGTAGCATTCCTTGAGCACATGTGTTTTTTTCTTGTGGAGAGCTCTAAATTTCTTGTATTTAAAGTAACATTGGTTTATAACATTGTGTAAGTTTCATGTATACAATATTGAAATATATTTCAATATAAGAAGTGTATACTTTTCTTTATACACTATAGCCTGATCACCACAAAAAGTTTAGTTTTCATTTAACATCATAAGTTGACCACTTAACCAATTTCATCTTTCCCCGCCCCCCTCCCCCACTAGTAACTATTAGTATGTTCTCTGTATCTATATGTCTAATTTTGTTTGTTCATTCAGGAGCAGACCAATCATCCTGTACTCAAGCTGCAGCTCAGCCAATCAGATCATGTGTCTCTGAGGGTGTTGGTGTGGCCATTTTCCCTAAGGTAGGAGATTTACAACACGATAGAGTCCAGTTCCCAACTGAAGGCCTATTTTAGATGGACAATCTCTCAGCCTAGGGGCCATGTCCCATGCCTGGCTGTTCCAGTGATTCTCAACTGGAAAAGTGCTTGGGAAGGTCAGAGTCAAAGCAAGTTTATTAGTCCTCATCCACCTCCGCCATCCCAACCTCCACCTATTGATTCAAGGGCAAATATATTATTTTCTTATTTTGTTAACTCTTTGGGAATAGTAACTCCTTTAAAACATCCAAGGAAAGCATGGACCTTGCCCCTTGAAAAGCACCCATTCTGTTTCGTCTTCACAAGGATGTCTCCTGTCCCTTCTCCCCCTTGGAGGCCCAAACTTCACCCAGGTTCTGATTCCCCAGTGGAAGTTTGCAGGTGGCCCCCATCCAAGCACCATTGCATTTTCAGTTTTATTCACTGTGCTGGCATGATGAAAGAACTTGTAGGAAAAGAGAATTTCAGGGCCTGCCAAAATCCTGGGGAAAGAGCAGAGCAATCAGGGGAAGGCAACTGGGTTCTGAACAGTCTTTGTGAGAAAAGGCACATTTAAAAGACTAGGGCTTCAGGATATCTCATTTTTTAATGTGACAAATGATCGAGCTCTCCCTTTTCCAGGCTTGAGCTCTGCTGAATCCACTCTTATGGTCCAGGCTCAAAACCATCCCCAAGAAAAAGAAATGCAAAAAGGCAAAATGGTTGTCTGAGGAGGCCTTACAAATAGCTGAGAAAAGAAGAGAAGTGAAAGGCAAAGAGGAAAGAAAAGATATACCCAACTGAATCCAGATTTCCAAAGAATGGATATGAGAGATAGGAAAGCCTTCCTAAGTGAACAATAAGAAAAAGAAATGCAAAAAGGCAAAATGGTTGTCTGAGGAGGCCTTACAAATAGCTGAGAAAAGAAGAGAAGTGAAAGGCAAAGGAGAAAAGGAAGTGAAAGTGAAATGTGAAAGTCACTCAGTCATGTCCAACTCTTTTGCAAACCCATGGACTGTCCATGAAATTCTCCAGGCCAGAATACTGTAGTGGGTAGCCTTTCCTTTCTCCAGGGGCTCTTCCCATCCCAGGGATCAAACCCAGGTCTCCTGCATTGCAAGTGGATTCTTTACCAGCTGAGCCACAAGGGAAGCCCATCTGAATGCAGACAAAATATGTCTTGGTTTACCTAGAGACTTCCTTTGTGTTGAGCTATCCCAAGGCAGTACCATTGTAAATGACTGTGTGAAGTATCTTTGGGCACAAACCTGTTGTGCTTTTCAGAATGATTTTTGCTTTCATTTTGTTTTTGTAAAATAGAACTCTCTAGTGGGCCTTATTGGGAAAAAGCCTGTGATTATTTTTGAAGTACCTGGTTTACAGGGTACTTTTAACCTAGGTCTGCTTTTAACTTCCTCTACTTTCCTAAGACTTTTATAGGGCTAGTTTGCAGTAATTTGCATTTTTTGGTCTTAGATCTATTGTCTTGCCTGCTCTTGTGATTGAAATGTGATGAAGTAGTTAAAGTACATTCTTTCACATTTGTTCAATTGTGGAAAAGCTTTAACTCTATTGATATGGATTCTAATAATAGATGGTGTGGCAAAACAGAGAAAAGAGAAAGTGCCATGTTTGAAATCAGTTTCTAGGTGAGAGTGTGGCTTAGGAGGACTCTGACCTGCAGGACACTCATAAAATGGCACCCCCACTCTTGAATGAAGACTACTTTCTCAGCCTGACATCTAATGCTCTTGATGACCTGCTTTCCAGCTTCACTATTTACTACTCCTGAACCATTTACTACCATTTCCTGCTTCTTATGCTACAGGCCATTTCCCTCAGAATTCCAAGTTATCTCAGTGTTTATATTTTGACAGTGTATTTCCTTTTTGCTTTCTCTTTAATTTCCTGTCTCATTCTGAACTGGTGGATAAAATGTCAGCTTGTTAGTTAGATACATACAAAAGTATTATTACTAACTGGGTGCATGGAAATTAAGGCATTAAGCATACACAAACTAGGACCCTTGGTGAGAACAGAACAATAGAATTCTAGAGCTGTTTGGGCCTTTGCAATTATCTTGTTCAAATCCTTATTGTACTGAGTACTAAACCAGTCTAGAGAGACAAAAGGATTTAGAGCACATAGTACTATCCTTTAAGAAAAAAAAGTGAAAGTTTGTCTCACAGTCATGTCTGACTCTTTGCAATCCCATGGACTGTAGCCTGCCCAGCTCCTCTGTCCATGGAATTCTCCAGGCAGTAGTGATGCAGTGCATTGCCATTTCCTTCTCCAGAGAATCTTCTCAACTCAGGGATTGAAACCAGATCTTCTGCACTGCAGGCAAATTCAACTAAGCCAGTCCTTAAATAAATATTTCTTGATTCCTGGGCCTAGATGCTACTGCTGCTACTTTTCTTCTCCCTCATTTTTTTTCCAAAAGGAAATAAAATGTTTGAGATGTATTATAGCCCTTATTATGTCCTTTACCCATTTTTTTCCCTTTGACCCTGAACTGAAGTCAGTGTATGCCCTTTCTACTAATGTTTCTAATTTCACTACATATATCCCAAAAATGTATATAATAGTACTTTTTCTGATACAATAATGATTCCCATCATTAATTCTTTCAGGGTATCCCTTTCATGATTTTTTCCATAGTCTTATACTACTTATATTGCATTTTTTTTCTTTAGAAGATGCATTTAACTACTAAATTATTTCCAAGAATAATGCACCATCTAGTGACATGTGGGCAACTGCTCTGATATCTTTGAGATGCCTTATGCCTTAGATCATCTACAATCATCTAACAGTCTACCCTTGGTACTGCAGTTTAGAAACCATTACACTACACTTCACATGGGTTAAATGTGTGTCAATACAGTGGTGTTTATCTCTAATTAATAGGCTTTTTATCTTTCATAGTTTTGACAAGGAAATTTTCTACCTGTAACTTCATCTTTAACATGACACTCTTTTGACCTGCTGACAAAGATTCTCTCCTTGACCAAACTCTACTCAGGCTCTTTTGATCTCTTTTAACTAGACCTTGACTTTTGGGCTTCCATATTAATCTCTGTATTATCAATTTTAGCAAGAATCTTGCTAAGTAAGTTTAGCCAGAATTCCCAGCCTCAATATCTAAGTGGGTTCCTCTTCCCACACCATCTCCCACATGATATCTGATCACCCTGGCCTGCCTTCAACAAGAATCCTGTTTGGTCAGTTTAGCCAGAGTCCTTTCCTTACCTCTGATGTTACCTCTTAATGATTTTACATCCACTGACCACTCCCCTTCCATCATCACCACCACCATGTTCCTTAGCTTAAAATTCACATTTTTCCTTGCTGTATTCAGAGTTAAGTCTGATGTCCCTCCTCCACTGCAAGACACCATTACAGTGATCCCTATACTTACCACAATAGTCCTCCATTGAATGAAGTTTTTCTTACCATCTATAACAAGGGCCATGAATAATTTTTTTCTTTAACAGTTATGGTGCCCAAACCCAGATGGGATCAGATTTGTCATTGGACCCCCAGATCTCTTACTCAGGACTCTAGGTGAGTATGTTTGCAGCCTTTGGATTCACTTCTGACTGACTGGTCAGGTGTCCATTGGTCAGTCTGACTCCTAAGCCATTGCTCTGTCGAAGTTGGTAAGGACAGATTTTGATTCTTAACATTCTGAGTAATACTCTAGAAATTGAGATAGAAGTCCCAGACAGAGGTTGCATTTAAGTACTAGGATCTCTATAATAAACAGGTTAGAATCCCAGGCTTCTTTGTTTAAAAGATACCTGCTGGGCTAAAAGTCTTTCTTCCTGGCTCCCTTCTTAACTGGGGGATTATTCCCTCACTCACTAGACTGGAAGTTCTTCTGGCTCCTTTTTAAAAAATTAATTTATTTTAATTAGAAGCTAATTACTTTACAATATTGTAGTTTTTTTCCATATATCAACATGAATCAGCGATGGGTGTACCTGTGTCCCCCCATCCCGAACACCCCTCTCACCTCCCTCCCCACCCCATCCCTCTGGGTTGTCCCAGAGCACTGGCTTTGAGTACCCTGCTTTCTGTATCAAACTTGCACTGGTCATCTGTTTTACATATGGTAATATACGTGTTTCAATGCTATTCTCTCACATCACCCCACCCTCGCCCTCTCCCACACAGTCCAAAAGTTTGTTCTTTACATCGTTGTCTCTTTTGCTCTCTTGCATATAGGGTCATCATTACCATCTTTCTAAATTCCACATATATGTGTTAATATACTGCACTGTTGTTTCTTTTTCTGACTTACTTCACTCTGTATAATAGGCTCCAGTTTCATCTACCTCATTAGAACTGATTCAAATGCTTTCATTTTTATAGCTGAGTAATATTCCATTGTGTATACGTACCACAATTTCCTTATCCATTTGTCTGCCGATGGATATCTAACTTGCTTCCATGCCCTAGCTATTGCAAACAGTGCTGCAATAAACATTGGGGCACATGTGTGTCTCAATTCTGGTTTCCTCGGTCTGTATGCCAAGCAGTGGGATTGCTGGGTTGTATGGCAGTTCTATTTCCAGTTTTTTAATGTATCTCCACACTGTTCTCCATAGTGGTTGTACTAGTTTGCATTCCCACCAACAGTGTAAGAGGGTTCACTTTTCTCCAAACCCTCTCTAGCATGTATTGTTCGTAGACTTTTTGATGCCAGCCATTCTGACCAGCAAGAGATGGTACTTCATTGTGTTTTGATTTGCATTTCTCTGATAATGAGTGATGTCCATGTATATTTTTAGCCATCTGTATGTCTTCTTTGGAGAAATGTCTAGTTCTTTGGCCCATTTTTGATTGGGTCATTTATTTTTCTAATATTGAGCTGCATGAGTTGCTTGTATATTCTGGAGATTAATTCTTTGTCAGTTGTTTCATTCGCTATTATTTTCTCCCATTCTTATGACTGCCTTTTCACCTTGCTTATAGTTTCCTTTGTTGTGCTAAAGCTTTGAAGTTTAATCACATCCCATTTGTTTATTTTTTGTTTTTATTTCCATTACTCTGGGAGGTGCGTCAAAGAGGATCTTGCTGTGATTTATGTCAGAGACTGTTCTGCTTTTGTTTTCCTCTAAGAGTTTTATAGTTTCTGGTCTTACATTTAGATCTTTAATCCATTTTGAGTTGATTTTTGTGTATGGTGTTAGAAAGTGTTAGCTTCATTCTTTTACCTTTCCCCCTTGTGTCTGGCTCCTTGTTTTGATTAGGGTTCTTTCCCTGACTCCTGGACTAGAAGGCTTTCCCCTAAGCTCCTTGCTTCAAGTTCAGTTCTCTCCCTCATTCCTGGGTTGGATTTTTTCCTGACTCTTTGTGAAACCATTCTGTTCTCTCATTGATACTGCTTTGCCAATGGGGACTTCCCAGCTAATTGAAACACTTTCTTGAGTCTCTGCTCACTATGTGTTCTACCAACTCTGTCCACCTCTTTCTTGTTGGCATGCTTTTGCTGATGATAATTTGGAAGTTTTTTTTACCTCCTTGGGGATTTTGCAATCCCCCCCCCCCAGATTTCTCTTCTAAGATCTCTCTCTTCCTGTTACTTCTGCTCCTCCTTCTTTCTCTTACCACATTCGATCTCCTCTCCAATTCCTTTGAATCCTTTGACATGTTCGCCTTCGAAGTCCTCCCCTCTTCATCTCTCTTATCCATCCATCCCTGACAGAATTTTCCCTTCTCACTTCAGATCCTTACAATCACTTTTGCCTTGTACTCTTCATTGGGTACTGTCTAAGCATTCATGTATCCCTGCTGGCAAACATCTGAGGCTTCTGAAAAGAGCAAAAAGGGTTAACTGCAAATAGGACTGGATGTTTTCTTCATTCATGAGCTTTGGAGATATCTAGGCAACTGTTATGTGTTTCTACTTACAGTCTCTTAAAATTTAGTCCACATCCTCTATATTGTTACCCTCCATGGTAAAAGAAAATGGTGAAATCTACTCCAAAGTTTTTGATAAACATGTAATTTTTTGTTATTTTCTTAAAGCAATTCAAATAAAAACAAAAGGTAGACATAAACTAGTGAATTTTTGTTACTATATTTTGCTGACTGATCACTAAAATTTCATAATGAAAGCTACAAGGTGTCAACATGAATCGATGTGTATGTTTTTACATATGTCCATATATATGTTATGTATTTATTATATTTTTCTATCTCTGGATGGTAGTGTGACAATAATGTATAAATTCTCTTAAAGAATACCTGTTTCAATTTGTTTACAAATAAATTAGACCTTATATAAATTATGTTTTCCTAAAACTGTCAGAAAGATAAAAATAATCCCAGTATTTTAAAAATTATTTCACATCTGGGGTAATATTATATCACCCCAGTATAACCTACTCTATGTGAAAAAGATTAAAAAGTTATAAAGTAAGAACCAAATGTACAATAAAAATTAATTGTTCGATGCCTATGAAGCACAGATGAAAAAAATAAGGTGGTAATTCATATGTTTAAGCTTTCGAATTCTTTGGTTGTGTAAAACTGTTTTATTGTTCACCTGATTTACCACCAAGAAAAGTAACTAAAGATGATGACAGTCTTTAATATCTTATGAAATTTTCATGATCAATTCAGGCATAATTCTTAAAAATAAACATATGTAAGTGATATAAAAGTTTATAAGTGAAATTTTTAGCAAGAATTATGTTTTATAATATCTGTACCATAAAATAGTTCAAATTTATTTCTGTAACTTGAAACTTTGAAAATATGCTAAATTATGGGATTGTAAATTGGTGTAGCCACTATGGAAAATAGTATGATTTCCTCAAAAACCTAAGAAGAGCCACAATAAGATCCAGGAATTTCACTTATGGGCATATGTTCAAAGAAAACAAAAATATCAATTTGAAAAGATATATGTGTAGCATTATTTACAATAACCAAGATATGGAAGCAACCTAAGTATCAATCAACAGATGAATGGATAAAGAAGATGTGGTACATATATACAATAGAATTCTGCTTAGCTATAAAAAGAATGAAATTTTGACATTTGTAACAACATGGATGAACTTGGAAGGTATTATATTTAGTGAAATAAGTCAGATAGAGAAAAGCAAATAGTATATGCTATTCCTCACATGTGGAATATAAAATATTAAACAAATGGATGAATATAACAAAACAGAAACAAACTCACAGATATACAGAAGAAACTAGTGGTTACCAGTTGGGAGATGGAAGTAGAGAGGGGTCAGTTAAAGGTAGTGGAATAAGAGGTACAAACTACTATACATAAAATGAAGAAGCTATTGATACAATGATACATTGTTCAGCACAGGAAATTTAGCCAGTATTTTATAATAACTTTAAATGTTGTATAATCTATAAAGATATTTCATACACCTGAAGCTAATGTACTACCAACCATTTTCATATAAAATAAAATATTGATATATTAATTGTTTCAATGATATCCTCTCATATCATCTCACCCTCTCCTTCCCACACTGTGTCCAAAATGCCTGTGTTTCCTTTACTGCCCTTTAAGTAGTACTGTCAGTATTATCTTTCTAGGTTTCATATATATGCATCAATATACAATATTTGTCTTTCTCTTTCTGACTTACTTCCCTCTCTATAAAAGACTCTAGTTCATCCCCCTCATTAGAACTGACTCAAATGCATCCCTTTTTATAATGGAGTGATATTCCATTGTGTATATGTATCACAACTTCCTTATCCATTCATCTGTCGATGGACATCTAGGTTGCTTCCATGTCCTAGATATTGTAAATAGTGCTGCACTGAACATTTGGTTACATGTGTCTTTTTCAATTTCAGTTTCCTCAGAATGTATGGCCAGTAGTGGGATTGCTGGGGTGTATGGTATCTTTAATCCTAGTTCTTTTAAGGAATCTCTATATTATTCTCCATAATGGCTCTCTCAGTTTGCATTCCCACCAACAGTTGAGAGGGTTCCCTTTTCTCAACTCTCTCTCTCCAGCATTTATTGTTTGCACACTTTTAGATGATGACAATTCTGACTGGTGTGAGAGGGTACTTCACTGTAGTTTTTATTTGCATTTCCCTAATAATGAGTGATGTTGAACATCTTTTCATATGCTTACTAGCCATCTTCATGTCTTCTTTGGAGACATGTCTCTTTAGATCTTCTGCCCACTTTTTGACTGGATTGTTTTTTTTTTTTTTTTGCATTGAGCTGCTTGTGCTGCTTGTATATGTTAGTGATTAATCCTTTGTCAGTTGTTTTATTTGCTGTTATTTTCTCCCATTCTCAGGGGGGTCTTTTCACCTTGCTTATAGGTTCCTTCACTGTGTAAAAGCTTTTAAGTTTAATTAGGTCCCATTTGTTTATTTTTGTTTTTATTTCCATTATTCTAGGAGGTGAATCGTAGAGTATCTTGCTGGGGTTTATGTCACAGAGTGTTCTACCTATGTTTTCCTCTAAGAGATTTACAGTTTCTGGTCTTACATTTAGGTCTTTAATGCATTTTGAGTTGATCTTTGTGTATGGTGTTAGGAAGTGGTATAATTTCATTCTT